CGCGCGCGCGTGTGTGTGTGTGTGTGTGCGCGCGCGCGCGCTTGTCTGTGTGTATGTGTATATATAAAATGCCTAATTTGTCATATAATACTTAGATGGGCATGTTACAAGATAACGATCATCTCTCGTTGAATAGATCACTGTCAGGAATTTTCTAAGCACGCTATTATGCTCTTATAATAGATATGTACAGGTGTATCACATATGCGAACGCGAGCCACTTAGAGGATTTCTGATTGTTTGTCAAATGACATATGTGCCTTTTGAAAGTAATAATGGGTAGATTATGTAAGAAAATACGATATATTATGACGAATAAATTGTTTTTAATAAAAAAAGAATCGATTTTTGTGTTAGTCCATTTCCTATCTGATGATATATAATAAATACGTTAAAATTACACTATAAATACATATAAACGCTAATTACAATTGTATTGGTCGTACAAAAATACTCTCATAATATATAAAAATATTATTCGGCGATACGATGATTTCGATACCTTTAAATATATTATATTTTAATAAATACAGGAAGATTGCTATACAATACACAGAACAGTATTCGGCTGCTTAACATAAAAACATGTTTTTGATTCTATATACACTAAATTTTACATCTTTGTTTCAGTGAACTTATTTCATACAAAAGAGAGAAATATAATATATAATTTATATAAGAGAGGTAAAAGTACACGCAAAAATGCACATAAGAATAATTTTATAACAAAATTATGAAATTATGCCATTTACGCGAATTACCCAAACAAAATCTAATTCTAAGTAAATTATTCTTTCTTATTTACACTTTTACAAATGTACCAATTAACAAAATTATTTTTTAAGTGGAAAGAGATTGATCTTTCTACTATTTTAGAATATCATTATTTCTTTAGCAGCAATCTCTCACTTCTTTATTACTCTCAATATTACTTAATAAGCTCTCAATAAACGTTTTTATTAGAAAATTTAATTTGTACTTATTTTCTGTACTCTTAAGTTGTGACAATTATCGATAAGGTAACAATTTTTTTTCATCTATTAATATAAATTGTTTATAGTTTTTTAAAATAAAAATGGTTTAAAGAAAGTATCGAAATTCAATTTGTTTTGTATCATCCAACGTCGAAAAAGTAAATAATATATATCAGCATATTTTTCATATATATATTATCCACGTATCAATGTGCGCATATCCAAAGCGCAGTCGTTGACTGGATAAATATGTAAGTATAAAACATTTGTTTTACGTCGATGTATACATATACATATACAGGATAATATCAAAATATTTAATGTTATATGAAAACAAAAATCTTTTCCATTTTTCATTTTTAAAATCATGTCTACAATAACTTCACTGGTCATTTCTATCACCGGTTAATACTGGTTAATTGTATCTTAAATATCCTGTATACGAACACATGTCAATATTAGGCTATCACACGAAGAAAATATTTAAATAGAATTATCATGCGTGTGATCTCTAAAAAGAAAGTCTAAATCTCGTTTCCTTCCTTCGCTATCTGTAGGCAAATTTGAAAATCTTCACATTCCGCAGCTATAGTTTTGAGACTGAAAATAATTGGTAATCAATATACTCAAAAATCAATATACTCAAAAATTATCAATTTTCTAATTCTGCATTGTCTGATATAACGCTTCCTTATATTATCTACAATCTGTAAAAAAGAATAGAAAAAAGAGAAAAGTTGAAAATTGCTTTTTATTTCATATACCTTTCAATGTAAATGTTTAGAACCGATGTTTCAAAATTCCCTCTTCTTATAGCTTCAGTACAAAACTGCGATAGATTCTTGAAGCATTTCCGTATGATGCTACGAGAACTCTGATTTTCCCATTCTGGTAATTCCCTAGTAATTTTCCATGCTTCTAGTGCATAACGCATTAATGAAATCCAGTGTTGAGACTCTTGCAATATTCTTCCTTGATCATTCAGAGTTTTCTAAAGAAACAAATTGCAAAAACAGAAGAAAAAAAATTGTTATTAATGTTAATAAGTTGAACAATAATTATATAATTAATTGATTAAATTCTTATATATAAACATAGGAGAAGACCAAGATCTCACAAATAAACAAGTCTTATTGTATTATCTTAGTTTGATATTGTAATATATATATATATGAACGAACCTGAAATGCGTCCAAATGTATATAAGCACGACTATACGTGGAATCATCAGTTAAATTGGAAACTAATACAAGACTGGCGTAAATATTTTGTCGTAGGACAATTAATTTTTCCATCAATGGCTGAATATCCGCAATCGGCATGTTCTTGGAAAGTATATTACGAAGCTTCTCGTTCTCGCGCAGCGTACCTTCGTCTTGCGCGTATACCAGCTGCATAATCATTTGCACGAGTTGCTCGTGACTGAGACCACGCAAACCATTTGCCAAATTATCATTGGATCGTACTCTCGACGAATTTGCGGCGTCTAATGACATTCGAGAGGGTAACGATGTTTTCTTATTCTCCGATATAGTGAAACTGGATTGGCGAGTATCGATAAGAGAGAGTCTCTTTTTAGCAGCATCCCTCAATACCGTTTTTGATGTCGATGGATTTTTAACTGGTGTGCGGTCTCTGGAACTCAAACTGATAGCCAAAGATGTTACTAGTTTATTATAAATGTACATGCAGATATATTATACCTAAACAAACTGCGTCGCTTATTGGTGTCGAGATCAGGGGACCAAACTATAGACTTTCGTCGACCTCTCTTTTGAATGACAAGTTCATCGGGACTCTGTGGTGAATTCCAATCATCAGGTAATCTGTTTAACCAATTCTGCAGTGTGCTTACATCCATGTTATGGTATGTTGCTGAAATACATTTCACAAATTATCAAAATGTCTCAAGCTGTATAATAAATACAGGTCTGTTTTTCATTCCTGTACTAAAATTTCTTTCCTTTCATCAAATATCAAATATTTCATTCTAAATTCTAAAAGTGTCTTAGTTATATAGAAAATAAACTTTATATATAAGAATATAAATATAATATGCAAGTGCAAATTAAACAAGCAAGATAAGGACATGCATGTACATATGTTCAAAAGCTCCAGATAAAAAGAAGAGAAAAATTTATTTTAATCCTCTACCTTTATCTTTCTGTTACTATAATATCATAAGAATTTTTTTAAAATGCTCAAAAAAGATCCGAACATGATTAGAAGGTTAAGAAAATGATTGTAGACCAATATAGTTGATTCTTTATAGCCATCTTAAGTAAGATAATCTTAGGCCGGTATTCATAGGCTGGTATTCATAAGGCAATATTCATGGTCTGTTCTTATTTTAAGACTGTTACGTAATGTCTTAAAATGCTAATACAGTTCTTTAATCGATGCATGACATCTTAAGACTCTACTTAAGACAGTTTTGAAATAAGAACTAACTATAAAGTGTAATCCTAAATTGTCATAATCATCATATTAGCACTTAAAACATTACTTAAAACATTACTTAAAGCTTAAAATAAAAACTAATTATGAATACTGGCCATAGTTTTATATTTAAAACTGTCTTAAGACAGTCTTAAGTTGTCATAAACAATCACAAAGCAATATTAATATTTTAAGACATTATTTAAGACAGTCTTATTATTTAAGACAGTCTTAAAATAAGAATAAACTGTGAATATCAGTCGAAAATCGTATTAGCATCTTAAGACATTATTTAAGACTGTCTAATAAGAACGAATGAACCGGTCGTAAGATTGTTATGGTTCGCGAAAATCCGGTATGCGAGGTTAGGTAGATTTTCGCAATGTCACGCTCGCGCAAATTGAGTCTGGTGCAAAAACGCGTCACACATAAATACGATAACAATATTTTTGTGAAATCAGAGAGAAAAGACACGACATGACAACGCTCGAAGTATGGAATGCACCTGGTGTTGAATTGGCGGGAATCACCAACGGACCCTCGAGACGTGATTGCCTTAGTCTCGCGTGAGGAGAAGGGACCAGAGTTTCTCGCAGCTGCCTCGCCATCGCGTTCGCGATGTTCCCTGACGTTGCCGCGAAGAAATTTGGAGAGTTTCAGTTACGGGACCGCAATAAAACAACTGTCAATAATAGACGCTCACAAGTTGTCAACTCCTGTCAACCGATGTTATTGTCGTTCACTATCACCTGCTATAATGCTATCACTGATTACACACAGATATTCTGCGCGTGCGCAGAACTCGATCGAGTAAGCATAGGAAATAAATTCCAACCTATCAGAAATCATGTATATATTAGAATAAACGCTTTCTGATAGGTTGAAATCTCTTATTCTCTGTTCCTATTGCCTGTGTTTTTCATGTTTTCGGCTTAAAGGCCTGTTTAGACGGACGCACAATCGCATATGCACATTTCACGAAGAAAAGAATCGACTACGAATTTGGACTTTTGGAGATTGCTGTAAGAGACTGCTGTATTGTGTATTTGGTTTCAATTTTCAATTTTCATCTAATTTCTTGTACTGTTTATACGTACGTTTATTTTATCTCAGCTTTGTAATTGTTTTCTTCGAAATATTTAATCATCGTTTTTATAACTAGTAATTTTTAGGTTATGCACAAGTTTCGGAAATTATCTCAATTAAAGAAAAGAAGGGAGCGAACATTGAATGTACGTCTTCCTCACGTAATAAAGGATAAAAAAGAAATTGAACAGTTATTTGAGGGTAATTTTCATATAAAATTACCACGACAGTCCAGTAAATCATGTCATATCATCTTTCCTACTGTGGAAGAGAAGATTAAAAATTATAAACTTGCAAAGAGTAAAACAATCGATGGCAAGCGAATTGTTATTCAACCATTGCGGGAGATTGTATTTAAAAAAGAAACTAATACAAGAAAAAAGATTTTTATACCTGAAATTAAACCAGACATTGAAGTAACAAAAACGTAAGAATCACTTGCTTGAATCATAACTTTATTTCGCAAGATTATTAATATTTCATATATATTTTATACTTTTACAGATTATTTATTTCAAATGTAGCCAATAGTATAAAATCACATGAAATAAGAGGTGCTCTTCCTGGATGTATTGGTGTTACTTTATTAAAACCTTACAATAAAGATTTTAGGTACAATTTATTTTTATTAAATAATATTAAACCTATTTTTATCAAATTTCTAACTTTGTTGTAATGGCATAATATATACTACATATACATATATATTAGATACCGCAGAAAATTTGTGTCTTTTTTTGAAGAAATGTTTATAGAAGAAAAAATAACACAAACTTTCCACGATACCTTATATATATATATATATGTATTTATGTATAT